TTCACCCCTTGTGTTTTTTTTTTTTTTTTTTTTTTTTGAGACAAGTTCTCACTCAGTGGATAAATGGCCCGGGTTGAGTTTGAACTTGTGATTCTCCTGCCTCAGCCTCCTAGAGAGTTGAGATTACAAGCCTGCACCACCACACCTGGCTGCACATCCCAACCCATCCCATCCCATTCTTTTAAAGATCTGAGAGGGCCGGGGATTTAGCTCAGTGGTGCCACTGCCTGCCTCACAAGCTCAAGGGCCTGATTTTGATCCCCAATACCAAGATAAAATAAAATAAAGATCTGAGAAAGAGCTAGCAGGTCTCATGAGGCCACTGTGTGAGCCGGTTATGTGTGTGCAGCCACCTGCCTGGTAACCTTGCCCATCCAGTGCCAGGAGCGAATCACGGTGATATAGGTGGAGCTGGCAGCCACCCGGATGGGGGTGGTGGATGTCTACACAACTCCCTCAAATCACAGGCAAGGGCCCACGGCTGCATCCAGCTTCCTTTACCCGTGGGCTCTTCCTGGGTGGGGAACGTCTTCCCTCTATGCACAGTGGGGTCTCACCGGCCAGCTGGCCCAAGCTGGCCTGCAGTGCCTTCCTGCCCTACGCCCCGGCTGCAGCTGGAACTCAGAGCTGGAGACCATTCTGAGGCTCCGTAAGATGAAGTCACTCACCTGCAGCTTGTGACAAGTCTGCATAGGAGTCATCCCAGAATCGTGTCTCTATGCCTGGCCTGGTGGCTGGTACACCACTCTAATCCCAGCACCAGGAGGCTGAGACAGGAGGATTGCGAGGGCAAGGCCAGCCTGGGGAACTTAGCAAGAATCTGTGTCCAAACAAAAATTACGAAGGGCTGGAGATGTTGCTCAGTGGTAGAGCACCTTTGGGTTCATTGCTTGATACTGAAAAGAAGAAAGGAAGGAAAGGAAGAAGGAGGGAGGGAGGGAGAAAGAAAGCGAGGAAGGAAGAGATTCATCCAGCTGCAAAGGCTGGGAGAAGGTCTGATAATAACTGAAAAGGGCAGCTATTTAAAATCCACAAGCAGGAATGAAGAGGTGCCCAAGACGCTCCCCGCATCACAGGTGCTCTGTCCGCTGTAGCAGAATCCAGGCTGCCCTTTCCCCTCTCGTGGAGCCGTGTGTTCTGGCTGGGCTGGGGCTTCCCTGTCCCATGTGGAGGTGACGACTGAGCCATGTGATCTGTGCCACATGAGGTAGGTGGAACGGGGTGAGCCCTTTGTCAGTGCCACACACGTGGGAGTCCAGACCGTCTCTGCCATCCCCGGAGCGGTCAGGGGTTTTGCTTGGGTTTCCTGGGAACACATAATCTGTGTGCCAGAAGGTGGTCCATCTGCATCCTGGGCCGGCAGAGAGGGGATGAAGCTCTCCTACGAGCCGTGGGCTCAGCATGACAGCCACTGCACCCGGAATTGACGACTCTGGTGCCTGCTGAGGGACTCTGGGCAGGAAGAGGTTGTGATTTATGGGGTGCGATGGAAAAATATGGTGAATGTTTAAGCTTTAAAGATGGATTACCTACAAATACACATTGCCACAATCCCCCTCCAAATCCTCCTCTTGCTTCCAACCCACTCGTCCCACCGTCCTCACCACTTCTGCAGCAGCTCTGGGGTCCTCTTTCCTGAGGGTCTTTAGCTGTGCTGTCCTGGCTGCTTCAGTGTCTTTTGTTTTGTTTTTGCTTTTCAGTTTTTTGAGACAGGGTCTCACTATGTAGTTGAGACTGACCTGGAACTCACTATGTAGCCCAGGCTGGTCTCGAAGTCAGCGATCCTCCTGCCTCAACCTCCAAATCCTGGGATTACAGGTGTGCACGACCACACCCAGCTTCAATGTCTTGAATGGATTCAAAATGTCTCCCTGTCATGGTCATTGTGACTTCAGAGAAGAGCCAGAAGTCACACAGTGCCAGATCTGGTGACTAAGGTGGATGAGGACCACATCATGTCTCTACAAGCAGCCTTGTAGCTTGGTACTTGGCAGCAGTATTCACTGCATTTTTTTTTTCTGGTACTGGGGATCAAACTCACATTCACTGCATTTTTTTTATCATACCTCAAAACCCTGCATCCTTCAAAGACAACGGAGCACAAACAAAGGCAAAAAATAAATAAATAAATAAAAAATAAAATAAAGTGCCTGAGATTTGGCTCAATGGTTCTGCCACCTGCCTCACAAGTGCAAGGGCCCAAGTTCGATCCCCAGTACAAAAAGAAAAAAGGCAAAAAAAAAGAAAGAAAGAAAAAGAACCAGCACCCTGTGAGTGAGTCAGAGCTCCCTACCGCCCAATCACTGTGCCCATGAGAAGACCCAAACTGGCTCCTGGGAGACCCCCTCCTCCTTCCCAGCTGGGTGTGGCAAGATCAGGTGCTCAGAGTTCATTCAGACTCTGGATGACAAGGACTCAGACTCCCTGGCTGCGTGGACTTGGGTGAGTTACTCAACCTCTCTGTCTCTCGGTTTTCTCCTTGATGACACCACCTCTGTCCCCTCCACTGTGAGCCTGGGGTAAAGGACAGAACAAGGGCACAGGCTGGCCCAGTGGGTGTCATTTGCTCCAGCCCCTCATGCCACAGAGGAAGCCTCAGAAGTCCTGTGACTCCCTTTCCAGGAGCCGCCATCTGCCTGGCTTTAGTCTGAGAAGTCAGAGCATCTCGTCTGTGCTGAGCACCCCCTGTGAGTGTCCCTCAGAATGTCCCATGCCTGAGTTACCTGTGCCTGGGGTGTGTTGTCACTGCACCAACCCATGAGGATCCTGCTACCACTGTATGTAGCGCCAGAGCTGGCTAGAAACTATGACTTTTTTAAAGTGAAAGTCTTTTTAGGAGGTGTTAACAATGAACAAAGATCTTAAATGGGAATTTAAACTATTTTAACATGTTGGTTAAGAAACCTGGGAGGCATAAAATGTAGAAAGTCAAAGGACATAAATAAACCCCTCCAAATCCCAGGGCATGGCAAGGTGCCTCTACAAGTTACTTACATTGTTTCTTTGAATTTTTTTCTTGAACTAGTTGAGATCATACTCTGTATATAGTTTTGAATCTGTTTTTTTGCTGTAACATATTTATCATCTATGTATTTTGAGCAGTTGGATTCTAATAGGAAGCAGTGATGTGTAATTCGGGAATTCTGGAACGAGCTCCTGGAAGAGTGGGTCAATGAGAAAAGGCAGGGCATATGCAGGAATCAATGAGTAACCCTTCGAGGCCAGAACTTGTGAGCAAATGACAAACCAAGGGTTCAAGAGAAATCTAGAAGACGTCTTCCATCAGACGGTGGAGAGCCTCAGATAACCTGCTAAGGGATTTTAGTTTCTTCTCTTTTCATTAGTGTACATTACAGGTCCTGTTGCACTGTTTGGAAAAAGACAGGTGTAGTTGCACACACCTGTAATCCCTGCACTTGAAAAGCTGAGGCAGGAGGAGTGCCGCGCGTTTGAGGCCAAGGTGAACTATATGGTGAGTTCAAGGCCAGTCTGAACTATGAAACAAGACCCTGTCTCCAATAAATAAATAAATAAGGCAAATGAAAGCAAATATTTAGAAATAATTCATAGTCGAGCTGTCCAGAAATGACTGCTATTAATGTTCTGATTCGTGTATTTTTTTTCTATGCACATATTTTTTTTCTTCCACTAGACAGGGACATAAATATTTTAATCTGTTCATAGTTTCATTAATATCATGCTTGGCTGCCCAAAAAAATTTTGGGTAGAGAGAGTAAGACAGGATCTCACTATGTCGTTCAGGCTGGACTTGAACTCACTATGTAGCCCACACTGACCTCAAACTCACAGCTATCCTCCTGCCTCAGCCTCCTGAGTGCTAGGATTACAGGCGTACACCCGTATGCCTGGCTAAAATTTTCTGGCACTGATGGCTTTTAAACATTTTCTGCACTGAAACTCTACATCAAAATCCTACCCTAACCAAGATACATCATGTAAAGGTACAAGACCCCAAAGATGAATGTAACTGTACTGTCTACCTAAAAAGCACCAATAAACTCAATGAAAGAAGAAAACCCGAAAAACAAAATCCTGCTCAGTATCAGGGACAGAAGATTAAATTTCTCATGATTTCTCTTGCCTATGAATCCCAGAGTATAAATAATTTGAGAGCGAAATGAAAGCTAGACGTTAGGAAACAGGGAGATGGAGCTTTTGGAAATGGGAAGGTGCCCTAGGGATGGGGGAGTTGGAAGGGGAGGAGGAGATGCGGAAATAGAGTACTAAGATGCAGTAAGCGTATGGGCACCTGCCCGCGATGAAGGCGTTCACCACGCGTTGCAAACGCGCACTAGTAAAAAAATTACTTAAAAATCCTACCTCGAACCTTGACATCCAGAGAGCACTGTGATCAGGAGATAGTGGGGTCGTGACGCCCGCCCGGCCCTGTGAGACTCCCTGCCCGCCTCTGGGAGTCACTGTTGCACAATCTCATTTTTATAGTGGTGCTGTAAGAATAAGGCACCATTTACTTAATCAGCTGGCTCTCTGGACCCAATTTTCCCCTTTGTAAATGATACTCCATTCTCTGACCACATCCCATCATTATATCTCCGTGAAGGTTTTAGAACACGGGGTATGACATAATCAGAGGTCGTTTGTGAGGACAAAATACAGTAGAATCCTACTTAACTGGCATTTAGGGAGCCATAACCTCTAATTAACCAATTTTCTTTTGCTCAACTTTGGGAACGTAAAGAAATTCTCCCCCCGCCCCCACACACTCACTCACAAACACACGCAGAGCTAGATATAAGGGTAAATTTAACAAATGTGTCAAATGACAATTCTAACAACTGCAAAACATTGTTGAGAGAGATTTAAGTAGATGATATATACTTGGGGGATGTTACTATCTGTATTCATGGATTGAAAGACTAAAGATTGTTAAAGTATGGGTTCTCCACCCCCAAGGTGATCCATAATTCAACAAAACAGTAGGCGAAATCTTAGCAGGGCTTTTCAAAATCTTGATAAGCAAAGTTAAATTTTTATCTTAGTATCGCCATTACAATTTTGGTACCAGGGATCAAACTCGGGACCTTGCATTTGTGAGGCAGCACCACTGAGCTAAATCCCCGGCACCGTTACAATTTTGAAAAGAAATGAAGGGAAAGGACTTCTTTTCGTTTCAATACCTACTATAAAGCTAACTGTAATCAAGATAGTTTGGTATTCAAGTAAAGGCTGGCACACATATCAATGAAATGGAGTAGAAAGTCCAAGAAAAAATATACATAGCCAGTACAATTATTGGGAAAGAATAATCCCAGTAAAAGTTCTGGAATAATTGGCTACTGTATGGACAAAAATTAATATTGATTTTTATCTCCCAACATATTTGAAAATTAACTTTTTTTTTTTTTTTTTTTTTTTTTTTTTTTTTTTTTTTTTTTTTTTTTGAGACAAGGTCCCACTGTGCAAGTCAGGCTGGACTTGATCTGACAACAATCCTCCTGCCTCAGCCTCTCCAGTACTGGGATTACAGGCATGCACCGCCATGCCCAGCTTGCAAGTTAATTTGAAGTGAATCCTTGACCTAAATGTAAAAGCTCAGACTATAAACTTCCAAAAACAAAAACCAGACAAACCAAGAGAAACTTAGTAATGCTGGAGTAGGCAAAGATTTTAAAAATAGGATACAAAATGCTAGAACTGTAAAAGAAAACAATCAATAACTAGGACCTCATTGAAATTAAAAATGTTGCCTTGTGTGGTGGCATACATCTGTCATCCTAGCACTTGGGAGGCTGAGACAGGAGGACTGAAGGAAGTTCAAGGCCATCCTGAATTACATAGCAAGACTATCTCAAAAAACCATAAATAAATAATAAATAAATCTGCTCCTTGAGACTACCATTATGAAAATAAAAAGCAAGCCAAATCCTGAGAGATAAATGACTGTTATCCCAAATACATAAACCTAACTCAATAATAACAAAAAACAGGCCTGGTGTGGTGGTGCACACCTGTAATCCCAGCATTTGGGAGGCTGAAGCAGGAGGATCGCTGCTAGTTTGAGGCCAGCCTGAACTACATAGTGAAAGTCTATCTCAAAAAAAAAAAAAAAAAAAAAAAAAAACCCAAAAA